CGAGAAGCCAGTTGCTGGACCAGGTGTCCAGCCTGTCCAGGTCCCTTTGAAGTCCTGCTTGATCCTCATCTGATTTAATTCTCCTCATTAACTTCACATCATCTGCGAACAGGAACACTTCTCAGTCTGTCCCATCCATCATGTCATTCATATATACCAAAAATAGCACTGGTCCTAGGACCGACCCCTGTGGGACCCCGCTCGTCACAGATGCCCACTGTGATACCTCATCACATACCACGACTTGTTGTTGCCTCCCTGATCCATTGCAGTGCCCTTCCTGTTATAGGTGCCTGATCCTCCTCTAGCTCGTGCAGTAATCTCTCGTGAGGAACTGTGTCGAAGGCCTTCTTGCAGTCCAAGAAGATGCAATGAACCCACCCCTCTCTCTCTTTTGTTACTTTATCATAAAACTCCAAAAGGCTTGTGACTTAGGATTTGCCTTCCGTAAATCCGTGCTGGCTGGCATATATACTTTTGTTCTGTTCCGGGTGCTCCACCATTCTCCTCTTGATAATCTTCTCCATGACTTTGCATTCTATACACGTCAGTGACATTGGTCTATAGTTTAGTGCCTCTTTTCTGTCTCCATTTTTAAAAATGGGAACTACATTTGCCGTCTTCCATACTTCAGGTAGTTGCCCAGTTTCAAGGGATGTATTGGAGATTGTGGTTAGTGGCACACAGCATTTCTGCTCCCTCTCTAAGGACCCAAGGGGAGATGTCCGGTCCCATTGCCTTTGAGGTATCAAGGTCCCTTAGCAGCTTCTTCACCTCCTCCTCAGTTGTGCGTATGTTATCCAACACTTGTTGGTATATTCCTTGTTGGTGTCTCCCTCTGTTCTGTCTTCCCAGAGGCCTTCTTGTCTCCGTTGTAAATACTTCCTTAAATCTCATGTTGAGCTCCTCCTTCTTGGTGTGTGTGTGTGTGTGTGTGTGTGTGTGTGTGTGTACTCACCTAATTGTATTCAACTAACTGTGGTTGCAGGGGTCGAGACTCAGCTCCTGGCCCTGCCTCTTCACTGAGTGCTACTAGGTCCTCTCTCTCCCTGCTCCATGAGCTTTATCATACCTCGTCTTAAAGCCATGTATGGTTCCTGCCTCCATTACATCTCTTTCCAGACTATTCCACTTCCTAACAACTCTGTGGCTGAAGAAATACTTCCTAACATCTCTTTGACTCATGTGAGTCTTCAACTTCCAATTGTGGCCCTTGTTTCTGCGTCCCATCTCTGGAACATCCTGTCTCTGTCCACCTTGTCTATTCCACACAGTATTTTGTATGTCATTATCATGTCTCCCCTGACCCTCCTCTCCTTCAGTGTCGTCAGACTGTGTGTGTGTGTGTGTGTGTGTGTGTGTGTGTGTGTGTGTGTGTGTGTGTGTGTATGTACGTGTCCGTGTGTATTCACCTATTTGTGGTTGCAGGGGTGGAGTCACAGCTCCCAGCCCCGCCTCTTTAGTTTAATATGTTTATTATGCACCCCATACCCATCCTGTGGGTGGTAGTCGAAAGATTACAGAGGTACATAATGGGTCCAGGGAATGGGCCCCAAAGTTATGATAGCTGAACTAGTTACAAAGGTAATGAATCATCTACACTCCTATACATGGTTACAATCATGAACAAATTACAAAGTAATGAGCCACTGATAGGTCCACTCTTCACTTATCGCTACTAGGTCCTCTCTCTCTCTCTCTGCTCCATGAGCTTTGTCAAACCTCGTCTTAAAACTATGTATGGTTCCTGTCTCCACTACATCACTTGCTAGACTATTTCACTTCCTGGCAACTCTACGACTAAAGAATTACTTCCTAACATCCCTTTGACTCATCTGAGTCTTCAACTTCAAATTGTGGCCCCCTTGTTTCTGTAGCCCATCTTTGGAATATCCTGTCTCTGTCCACCTTGTCAATTCCTTGCAGTATTTTGTAAGTTGTTATCATGTCTCCCTTAACACTCTTGTCCTCAAGTGTCGTCAGGCCGATTTCCCTTAACCTTTCTTCGTAGGACATTCCCCTTAGCTCTGGAACCAGTCTTGTTGTAAACATTTGCACTTTCTCTAATTTCTTGATGTGCTTGACCAAGTGTGGGTTCCGAACTGGTGCTGCATACTTCGGTATGGGCCTGACGTACACGGTGTACAGAGTCTTGAACGATTCTTTACTGAGGTATCGGAACGCTATTCTCAGGTTGGCCAGGCGCCCATATGCTGCAGCAGTTATCTGGTTGATGTGTGCCTCAGGAGATGTGTTTGGTATTATACTCAACCCAAGATCCTTTTCCTTGAGTGAGGTTTGCAGTCTTTGGCCACCTAGTCCATACTCTGCCTGCGGTCTTCTTTGCCCTTTCCCAATCTTCATGACATTATATTTGGAGGGGCTAAGTTCGAGGAGCCAGTTGTTGGACCAGGCTTGCAGCCTGTCCACATCCCTTTGTAGTCCTGCCTGAACCTCATCCATTCTAATTCTCCTCATTAGCTTCACATCATCTGCAAACAGGGACACTTCTGAGTCTATCCTTCCATCATGTCATTCATATATACCAAAAATAGCACTGGTCCTAGGACTGACCCCTGTGGAACCCCGCTCTTTACAGGCGTCCACTCAGACACCTCGTCATGTACCATGGCTCGTTATTGTCTCATTGTCAGGAATTCTTTGATCCATTGCAGTGTCCTTCCTGTTATGCGTGCCTGATCCTCTTGCTTTTGCACTAATCTCTTGTGAGGAACTGTGTCAAAGGCCTTCTTGCAATCCAAGAAATGCAGTTTGCCCATCCCTCTCTCTCGTGTCTTACTGCAGTTACCTTGTCATAAAGCTCCAGTAGGTTTGTGACACAAGATTTTCCTTCCCTGAATCCATGCTGGTTGTCGTTTATAAGCTTATTCTTCTCTTGGTGCTCCACCAGTCTCCTCCTGATAATCTTCTCAATGATTTTGCATATTATACACATCAGTGACACTGGTCTGTAGTTTAGTGCCTCGTATCTGTCTCCTTTCTTAAAAATGGGAACTACATTTGCAGTCTTCCATACCTCAGGTATTTGCCCTGCTGCAGTGGATGTGTTGAAAATTATTGTTAGTATTATTATTATTATAATCAAGGGGAAGCGCTAAACCCAGAGGATTATACAGCGCCTGGGGGGGGGGAATGTGGAAGGCATTCAGGCTTAATTCGGGGAACTGGAGAACAGATCCAATTCCCTAAATCAAGAGCCCCTCACCAACATCAAGGAACCTTCCTTGAGGGGTTTATTGTTAGTAGCACACACAGTGTCTCTGCTCCCCTTCTAAGGATCCACTGAGAGATGTTGTCTGGTACCACCGCCTATGACATATCAAGTTCGTTTAACAGCTTCACCTCCTCCTCGGTTGTGTGTATTTCATCCAACACATGTTGGTTTATCCCTTGTTCTGACTTCTTGGTGTCCTTTCTGTAAATACTTTCTTAAATCACATGTTGAACTCCTCACATACTTCTTGCTCGTTTCTTGTGAGCTCCCCACCTTCCTTCCTCAGCCTGATTACCTGGTCCTTGACTGTTGTTTTCCTCCTGATGTGGCTATACAACAGCTTCAAGTTAGACTTGACTTTCGATGCTATGTCGTTTTTGTCCTGCCACTGGGCCTCTCTCCTTATCTGTGCATACTTGTTTCTGGCTCTTCAACTAATCTCTTTATTTTCCTGGGTCCTTTGTCTTCCTTACTTTTTCCATTCTCTGGTGCACTTAGTGTAAAACAAAAGCCTGTAATTGTCTTACACGGTGGTAGGATTGCTGGTGTCTTTTCTTCTCATAAACATGCAAGATTTCAGGTACATCTTGCTACTTCTACTTACACTTAGGTCACACTACACATACATGTACAATCCTATATGTACACACCCCTCTGGGTTTTCTTCTATTTTCTTACTAGTTCTTGTTTATTTCCTCTTATCTCCATGAGGAAATGGAACAGAATTCTTCCTCCGTAAGCCATGCATGTTGTTGGAGCCGATTAAAATGCCGGGAGAATGGGGATAGTAACCTCTTCTCATGTATAAATTAAATTTAGAAAGAGAAACTTTCGTTTTTCTTTTTAGGCCACCCTGCTTCGGTGGGATACGGCCGGTTTGTTGAAAAAAGAGTATATATATATATATATATATATATATATATATATAATATATATATATATATATATATATATATATATATATATATAATATATATACATATATATATATATATATATATATATATATATATATATATAATATATATATATATATATATATATATATATATATAATTTTATTCCACAGAAAAATATGGCGTTGATGGTATCATGACCCAGGCTGGTGTAGCCACGTTGACATCCTTCTGGTCGAAAAAGACATTTGCAGCTGTGTGGGTGTCGACTCTTAGTGATGGGCAACCTGCAACAGTGGTGGTGTTAAGGGAGGGTGGATTTGGGGCTTCAAACCTCTAATCTCCTTCAGCCCCCACGATCCGTGATGAAAATGATAAATTATTAAAGTTATTATTAAATATAAATCTACTCTCATAACAAATATGGGTCAGTAGGTATATTTCGGATCTCCTCATTGATTATACAAGAACATAAGAACGAAGACTGAAGAAGGCCTACTGACCCATAGTTGGCAAGCCTTTCTGAAATATAACTTGAGGAACAAAAGCAGTGATTGTAGAACAAGTGATATTATAGTTATATATATAAATTCGAAGAGATCCAGGAGTGTGAATGATGACGGTACCATTGATATGTTTGCTTCCAGCCATAACAGGAAAGTCACACTATAACTTTTCAAATACTCTGAGCCTCTTATGTGAGAGCAGAACAAATATTATTCACCTGTCTTACTGCATAAATAAAACAGGTGAATATCATCTTTTTGATAAGTTACATGTTGATGTAAATTTAGTGTAATTTTTGTTCGTATTCTTTGATACAAATTTTTTTCCACTCTTATATAGTGTGAATAAAAGGATCTTTAGAAAACGGTGCTGCCTTTTTTTATTGACCTGTAATATACACTCTAAGTAAAAACAGAATATTAGTTATGTAAACAGTACCCTCTCCTTTCAACCAGACAGCCACCCCTAAGCCCTCCAGAATAGAAATTCTGGAGCCTTCCCTGAGTGCTGGGTATCCTGTGATAGTGCTGGGCATCCTATTACACTGCTGGGCAGCCTTCTACAGTACTGGGCAGCCTTCTACAGGACTGGACAGCCTTCTACAGTGCTCGGCATTTCAGCTGGGATTATTTGATGAAAGTGACCATCTCTTAACCAAAGGAATTGGAGCTACCCCTCTTTTGTAGATCGAATCTTATTACCTCACACTGCCAAGGCATTGTATTACTCTCACAGGTTTTGCTCTTCCCGTGGATATAATAATAATAATATGTGAAGATGGGTACAAAATATGAGGCTTTTACAGCTATCAAGAGAGATATTTGAAAAGTTATGAACAATGCATGAGTGACATTACTTAGGTTCAGCGTAATAGATACAAAGGCAGTGGGAACATGTCTCCCACATATGATTCATATGAATCTGACTCATCTGTCGACTCATGGGAATATTTGTCATCTATCATTTCATAGGAATAGATGCTGGACCCGTATGAAGGCCAACTGACAGGTCTCCGAATCCTAGGTATTTCTTGGAGTGGAACTGGTGAATGTTCTTGGATTTCTCCATTATGACTAACTGGTCTTATTACACTAGTGGGCCTTTTAAATTCATTGAGATTTTCAACTCGTTTTGGATATCCAGTCTGACTTTCAGATGGTCCAAGAAAAGGATTTCTTTGGTATGAATACGCAGGTCTCGGGACCGGACTGGGGAGTATGATTGGTCTTATAACTGCAATGGGGTTGATAGAACCAGAATCCTCATTGTGTCCAGCAGTGGGAATAGAAGGGTTATGGCCTCCATGTCCATGAGCGTCAGTACAAGGAGTTTGGCCTACAGTCCCAGGTCTAAGGTAGTTTCTTAGTGATACCGGAGCTGATGTGATCGAAGCTGTGCCATCATCTGATGCTATGGGTGCAGGTGGTAGGTTTAGAAATGCTGTAGGTTTAAGACCGTCCGTGTTGTTTATAGGGAAAGAAATGTTGATTTTTTCATCAGCATCCTGTACTAAAACAGGGTTGTCAACGATGACTCTAGATATTTCTGATTCAGAAGCCAAGTTATTAGATTTAAATAAATTATCCAAGATACTATCGATTTCTTTTATGTCTTGGGCCATGTGAGCACTATCACTGGTTCCATCATTTTCATCTACCACCCAAGTCCAAGCATTCATGAAGTTATTGAGGACACCGAGAACTGGTTGATTTGAAGAGGTGGGGGTCCCTTGAGGGTCATTCGTCTTCCATACAGCCTTGAACTTTTGGGCTGCCTGCTTAACTGGCTCAGAATTCTGAATCCGGTCAGACATCTGATTTACTAAGGGCATGTAAACCATTCCAATCTCTGGCCATGCATTTGTCACTTTTAAATAGGAAGCATTTAGTCGAACAGCTTCCTTATTCCAAACAGATATATAATGAAGTTTAGCTTCTTCTATGACGGGATCTTCATGAATGCTCTGATTCTCAGCATTTCTCAAAGAACTTCTTAGGATATCAACAACTGAGCTTGCACTTTCAGAATTTGGAACACTGTTATCATTTTGGTGAGACACTAGTGCTGCGACATTATTGAATGGCGTCCCAGAATTGTTTCCAGTTTCTGCTTCAGAAGCATTTTCCGGTTGGCTGAAAATTTTCCTGAAGTAGGCCGCGTCAACTGTAAGTGGGTGATACATTTCTTCCGCAGAGTTCTCTGAAAGTGGTCTCTCATCATCGAAGTCTATAATTGTTCTAGTCTCTGCACTGTTTTGTTCAGGAGTGTTATCATTAGTTATTTCCGAATCTGTTAACATTGTGTCATTATTTTGTGGAAGCATCGTTTCAGCAGCTGCATCTGTAGTTGTCGTAATTTCTGCACTATTTACTCCCGTTGATGCTAGCGCATCTTTTGCTGTAAGTTTTGGGGTCTCCCCTACATGTGTTGCCTCTATGACTTTCTTTGGAAGATCCTCTGATCCTTGCTGTGTGGACGTAAATGGATGAGAGGAAATTTGTGTATCGGGAGAAGTCATATCTCCATTGCTTTCTGGTCTACCTTCAGCCATGAAGCCAGACTCAACACTCAGGAACCCGTCTGTGGGCTAAAAAAAAATAATTATGAAGATTACAAAGAATCAGATGATACATTATTGCTATACATGAAAGACAAATTTTTTTTTAAAGTAATTGGGTATAATTTAAAAAAAATATATTTATACCGATGTAGATATTCAACAGTTATGAAATTTATAGTAAGGACAAAGTAATTATTCTTACATATATTTAATGTCTATAAATTACATGTCTTTAAAACGAAATTACACTTTAGTCTTAACTAAACAAGTTGTGCACAAAGCAGACTTTGGAAAAACTACAACTACGTCTGTTTAGTTTTTTTCTTAAATCTGTACTGATGAAACATATTGTATTTTTTTAAATACAGCAATTATTATTATTATTGTTATTATTACAACCTGTGTAGTTATTGCTTGTTTTCCTTCAATTTTGTCTGAATACAATGTTTATGATTAGTTTCCTGGATCTCCAGTGCGAGGAGAGGAGGAGCAGCAACCATAATTAATAACTCTTCATTAGATTGTTCAGAACTCGACCTATGTTTACCAGGTTCAGAACTGTTCATCAGGTTGTTCAGAACTTAAGATAGTGACAATGCCGACCCTTCAAGTGAGGGGTGCCTTGATTCTACTGAAGGGCTCTTGTTCGAGGGAACTGGAGCTAACTCCCCATCCTCGGATCAAACCTGATTACCTCTTATACCCCAGGTGCTGTATGACCCCTTTGTACTTCTCCTTAAATATATAATAGATGAAATAGAATGCCCATTAAAATCATATATACCAAAAATTAGTCTATTATATACTGTATTTACAAAGTTGTTTGAATTTGGTATAACTAAAGCTAACTCACCGAGTGCAAGTGTTTAAACCTGGGGCTGATGGCCCGGTGGCCTGGTGGCTAAAGCTCCCGCTTCACACACGGAGGGCCCGGGTTAGATTCCCGGCGGGTGGAAACATTTCGACACGTTTCCTTACACCTGTTGTCCTGTTCACCTAGCAGCAAATAGGTACCTGGGTGTTAGTCGACTGGTGTGGGTTGCATTCTGGGGGACAAGATTGAGGACCCCAATGGAAATAAGTTAGACAGTCCTCGATGACGCACTGACTTTCTTGGGTTATCCTGGGTGGCTAACCCTCCGGGGTTAAAAATCCGAACGAAATCTTATCTTATCTTAGTAACTCACCGATGACAGGGTGTCCAGAGTGGGTGTTGCTAGCACCGCGCTGCTCAATATGGCCGCCACACACACAACCTATAATAATAATAATCATAATAATAATATCTATTTCTAAAAATACATATACAAGGTATACAGGCCTAGGTGACATCACTGACATACTACTGTATAGAAAGCCGCTTGTTATGCAGAACATTTCGGGCAAACTAGGTCAGTTTTGTCCCAGGATGCGACCCACACCAGTTGACTAACATCCAGGAACCCATTTTATACTGATGGGTGAACAAGGACAGCAGGTGTTTTACGGAAACACGTCCCTAATGTTTTCCAGCCATACCGGAAATTCGAACTCCGGACCTCAGTGTGTGAGTCGAGTGCGCTAGCGATCGCGCTACGGGACAACTTTATAAACAAAAGTTTTAACCTCCAGAATACATCACAACACCGGGGCTTCAGTAACTCACTGCTAACCCAGAATTTGGAGAGAAAACTTTGAATGGCGTTTCTGTTAATCTTGAACAATATAATGGTTTAGGGTAGATCGAAACGTCATCTAAAGTTCCCCTCCAAACTGTGTTAGTCGTGAAGTATATATATATATATATATATATATATATATATATATATATATATATATATTATATATATATATATATATTGATATTGATATAAATATTTATATATAAATAATGATGAATTAGCAAAAACTCATTTAAAATTAAGTCCTTTCTAAAATTTTCCCTTGTACGGTAACAGATATATTTTTTTCATTTATGTTAATGTAAAAATTAATAATTTTGTACCAAAAGAACCTTAGGAAACTTACCTAACCTTATTATAACAAGCGCAATTTAATTTAGCCTAATCCAACTAAATATATTTTATATAGGTTTACAATAATTTAATAAACAAGCACAATGAAATATGCTTTTTTCGTTAGGTTCAGAATGGTTTTTGCGACATTATTGCATACAAAAATTTTCGCTTGCCCTATTCGGTAAGAAGTGCGTTGCTATTTAATCCAAAATCGCAAGTTTTACGTATTCGGCACGACATATATATTCAAACAGCTCCGGGGAGAACCTTGAGTTTTCCTTGAGGTACGTTCATTGTCTTCTTTGAAGATGAGGGTCCCCAGTCCAGCTCTAGAGGTGGTACCTCCCTAATATATAAAATAATATATATATATATATATATATATATATATATATATATATATAATAATATATATAATATATATATAAATATATATATATTATACCTGCTCTGAAAACTATGTATGGAGTCTGCCTTCATCACCAAGATCATTTTATTTCCCGACCATTCCGAGACTGAAGAAATACTTTCTTACAGACTTGCTGCTCATCTGCGACTACCATCGGTGTCCCCTGAGTTTCTGTTTCTCACCTCTCAAACAGCCTATCTTTGTCTACTTTTTCAATTCCCTGAGTATTGAATATTTTGTATATTATTATCATGTTCCCCTGGTTATTATATCTTCCAATGTCGTTAGGTTCTATTCGTTCAATTCCGTTAACCCTCTCCTCGTGGCTCATGCCCTTTAGCCCGGAAAAAAGCCTTCTTGTATACTTGTGCGCTTTTTCCAGTGTCTTAACTTGCTTTATCAGGTGACGGTTCTATACTGGTGCTGCATAGTCTAAGAGTGGCCTAACGTATGTTTTATAAAGCGCAAGGAATGACTTTGTTGAGATTCCTGAAGGATACTATTTGATTTACCAGACGAGAATTGGATGTAGACGTTATTCGGCTGATGTGAGCCTCTAGCAATATACAGGGCACTATTCTCACCCCTAGGACTTTTTGAGTGAAGTCTGCAGCATCTGTGCCCTTAGTCTATACCCCTTTTTGGTGATTTTCTTGCTCTTCTCAACCTTCATGGCCTTGCAGTTACTGGAATTGAACTCAAAAAAACACTTATCTGACAACTCTTCCAATTTATCCAGATACCTTCTGAGCATTTCTGAAATGTCATTCAAATAAACCAGAAACAGTATTGATCCTAATGCCGATCCTTGCGGAGCTCCTCTAGTTATTCTTCCTTATCCTGACGTCTCTTTCCTGGCAGTCACTCTTTGCTTCCTATCCTTAAGATACTCTTTTATCCACCGGAGTACGTTCCCTGTTATTCCCGACAAGTTTTGGCCCAGCTTCTTGCGGGGTGCAGTATCAAACAACTTCATGCAGTCTAAAAAATGCAATCCACCCAACCCTTTGTCTTTTTTGTCGCACATTTCTTACTTTGTCATAGAACTCCAACAAGTTAGTAAAACAAGAGTTGCTATCTCGAAATCCATGCAAGGTATACCTTTCTGAGGAACTGGTCTGTAGTTTAATGCTGCCTGTTTGTCTAATTTCTTAAAAACAGGAACTACATTTTTTGTCTTCCAGATCTCTGGTAACTGTTCTATATCCACTGATCATTGTAGATCATAGCTAGTGATTTAGACTGCTTCTGTATCCTCTCGCAAACTCCATGGTAACACCGTTGTCAGGTCTTATTACCTTTGGTGTATCCAAGTCCCTCAAAAGTTTCCTTACCCTTTCCTCAAGTGTGTGAATGTCATCTTTATTTATTTATTTATTTATTTATTTGAACATGATACAGTGAAGTACATGACAAAGCCCCTTGTATGCAGAGCATTATGGGCAGGCTTAAAATTAACTTAAGATTAACTAAGCAATGATATATTCAGTGGTAAAAACATTATTGTAAACAGATAACAATTTAGCACAAATGAGTATTACAAAGACAGGTCATATGGTCATTTACTGTGTTGCTGAGCATTCAGTAGAATGGAATAATCTGTTAGGTAATATAGTTAAAAAATAAAGTTTGATTGGATCACAGGTTAGACATTTATGAGATACAATAATGAGAAACATTAACGCGATACAATTTATGAGATACAATTATTCAGTATTTATTTAGTTGTGGGTGAGTAAGTGATTTTTGAGAAGAGACTTGAATTTATAAACAGTGTTTCTTTTATATTCACAGGTAATGAATTCCAGATTTTAGGGCCTTTTATGTGCATTGAGTTTTTGCATAGCGTGAGATGGACACGAGGAACATCAAAGAGTGATCTGTGCCTTGTGTTATGATCATGTGTTCTGTTGAGGTTGGTAAGGAGACGTTGGAGGGGAGGGTTTATATCCGAGTTAAGTGTTCTATATATGTAGTAGGTACAATAATAAGTATGGATGTTGTTTTGTATGGTGAGTAGGTTAAGAGTTTTGAATATTGGTGGAGTGTGCTGCCTGTAGTGGAATTTTGTTATCATTCTGACTGCAGCCTTTTGTTGGGTAATTAATGACCTGAGATGGTTTATTGTTGTTGAGCCCCGTGCACAAATTCCATAGGTGAGATAGGGGTAAATAAGTGAGTGATATAGGGTCAGGAGGGCTGACTGTGGAACATAGTACCGTATCTTCGATAGTATGCCTACGGTCTTGGAATTTTTTTTGGAAATTTGTTGTATATGTGTTTGAAATTTGAGTCTATTATCAAGGTGGATTCCTAAGAATTTTCCCTCTGTGAATTTTGTGATAGGTGATCCGTTTATCATTATGTTAAGAGGGACGTCTGTAGCTCTGTTACCAAACTGAATGAAGTAGGTTTTGTCAATGTTTAGAGTAAGTTTGTTAGTACTCATCCAGGTAGATATTTTCTGTAATTCGGTATTTACAGTATTGGCTAGCGTGACTGGGCTCGGGCGAGAGAAGACGTATGTAGTGTCATCTGCAAATAGTGTGGGTTTGAGTAGTTGCGATGCATTTGGTAGGTCATTTATGTATATGAGAAAGAGAAGAGGGCCTAGGACACTTCCCTGTGGGACACCAACTGTAATTGGCTGTGCTGAAGAGTTTGCCCCGTTTGTGTACACATATTGGCTTCTGTTGCCGAGGTAAGACTTTAGGTAGTTGAGGGAGTGCCCTCTTATACCATAGTGAGACAATTTTATATGGAGCAAGCCATGGTCAACTGTATCAAAAGCTTTACGTAAGTCTATGAAGATCCCCAGTGGGACTTCTTTTTTCTCTGTTGCAGTGTATATGTGCTCTAGCATGTGTTGGTGTTCCCTCTTCTTCAGTGTGTGTGTGTGTGTGTGTGTGTGTGTGTGTGTGTGTGTGTGTGTGTATGTACTCACCTATTTGTACTCACCTATTTGTGGTTGCAGGGGTCGAGTCTTAGCTCCTGGCCCCGCCTCTTCACCGGTTGCTACTGGGCCCTCTCTCTCCCCGCTCCATGAGCTTTATCAAACCTCGTCTTAAAACTGTGTATGGTTCCTGCCTCCACTACGTCATTTTCTAGGCTATTCCACTGCCTTACAACTCTATGACTGAAGAAATACTTCCTACTATCTCTCTGACTCATTTGTGTCTTCAACTTCCAATTGTGGCCTCTTGTTTCTGTGTCCCCTCCCTGGAACATCCTGTCTTTGTCCATCCTTGTCTATTCCACGCAGTATTTTATATGTCGTTATCATGTCTCCCCTGACCCTCCTGTCCTCCAGTGTCGTCAGGCCGATTTCCCTTAATCTTTCTTCATAGGACATTCCCCTTAGCTCTGGAACTAACCTTGTCGCAAACCTTTGTACTTTCTCTAGTTTCTTGACGTGCTTTATCAAGTGCGGGTTCCAAACAGGTGCTGCATACTCCAGTATGGGCCTGACATACACGGTGTACAGTGTCTTGAATGATTCCTTACTAAGGTATCGGAATGCTGTTCTCAGGTTTGCCAGGCGCCCATATGCTGCAGCAGTTATCTGATTGATGTGTGCTTCCGGAGACATGCTCGGTGTTATACTCACCCCAAGATCTTTCTCCTTGAGTGAGGTTTGCAGTCCTTGGCCACCTAGCCTATACTCTGTCTGTGGTCTTCTGTGCCCTTCCCCTATCTTCATGACTTTGCATTTGGCAGGATTAAATTCGAGAAGCCATTTGCTGGACCAGGTGTCCAGTCTGTCCAGGTCTCTTTGAAGTCCTGCCCGGTCCTCATCAGATTTAATTCTCCTCATTAACTTCACATCATCTGCAAACAGGGACACTTCTGA